TGTGTGTGTGTGTGTGTGTGTGTGTGTGTGTGTGTGTGTGTGTGTGTTTCTCTCTCTCTCTGTGTGTGTGTGTAAGTGTGTACCAAACAGTTCCCAAACTCTAACTCTTAGATCAACCAAAACAATCCAAGACACACGTAAATAAATATTTCTGGAGTAACATGACATTATAAGTGCCGTTTGCGAGCACTAATCATATGCAAATCATATGTAAATTAAGAGTAGATCCAACAGAGGGCGATCTTGGAGTCACTAAAAGCGAAAACTTCATTTATTTTATAACGCGGTTCGAAATTGTCCAGCACTTTTCGCATGAGCTTAGACAGGAGAAATGCAGCACACAATTCTAGTCTCGAGACAGAGACAGTTTTAAGGGGTGCAACTTTCGATTTAGAGCACAGCAGTCGGGGGGTCACTTCGATTCCATTTAGAACCTGTAAATACACGACAGCTCTGTATGTGCGCTCAGATGCGTCACCGAACCCCAAGAGGTTCACAACATACAACCCTGTACTACCCCAAGATGACGCGTTATACGAATCTCATTGAACTTTGAAAGCTCCGAGCAAAATTGTTCCCACAACTGGATTCGCAGAGTAGCAAATTAATTTACTTCCATTTTTATTTCTTATTTTTATTTTTAGTTTACTTCAAACTGCCATATCTTGAAAGTGACTGGATGTGAATTGGATCCTTTTTGTTTAACTACGTCCACTTATTTGACAGTAGTAGTTTCGGACGGATATCGGACAGAGTACGGGAGTAGATGCCACGATGTTTTCCTTCACCGAAAAAGATCTATGAACGGGAAAATTGCAGTCTGTTACCTACCACTTGAACTCGCAACGAAAACGCCGTAGCTAATAGCCGCTTCCAATTCTACAAAAACCTACCCGCAAACCTGATAGCAAACGACGGATGTTTTACACCAGACTGAAGCACCTTTTATTGAATAATATATCTTACAAAGAAGAGGAATTCTTTCCAAGAAATTTAAATTAAAATTTTTTTGGACATCAACAACACGAGTTATGAAAATATTTTGTGTTTATTTTTAAGGTTATTTTACATTGTATGACGATCATATTCTCTCTTGATATTGTATTTGTTAGACTGATAATATGTAAAGGCGCAAGAGGGTCTTCATTAGAATTGCTCATTGACTTATATCGGTAGGTATTGGGCGTGGATAAAGTAATTGCACAGCCACTCAGTGACAAGTTATTTTATTTATTGTCTTTTAATTAATCAATGAAATCAGGTCACTCCTATTTTACAAAAATTATCACGGAACAGGAATAAACATTAATTTATGCGAAGGAGCACAGATTGCGTGGAACTACAGCGATTGGTCGCAGGCCCGGTGCGCAAGCGGCTGTCACCCGAATAGAAGGACCGTAAAGATGGCCCCGCTACCGTCGACAAACGACTTTCTGTTAGAGTGAATTTCAATTTAATTCACTTTTGTACACATAGAGAGCGCCACGATGTTGCGCTGTCATATAAAATAAATGTTTCTAATCGTGTCACTATAATGACAGTATTATTATTTTTAAATAAATACAATTAAAATATAGCACCTTTTCTAAATTACAGTTTTATTCCATCCCTACCCGTCATCGCGGATTTCGGAAATAATCCTATTCCGTACCTTAACCCGGGTAACGTACGCCGTACCATGTCTGTGCAAAAAGGTACTCGTTAACCCAATCTTCAAGGATTCAGCGCTGCTACCGGATTTCGTTTGCTGATGAAAAAATTTGATATATTTTTAAATTTATTGATCAAAATAGAGAAAAAATACTTATTAACTAGTTACAAACATCGCTCACAAAAGTCTAACCGCGGCGAAGGAGCTCAAATAGAAATATATAATGAAAAAAGGACTGACATACTCCTACACTCGAGATACCAATCCGTGACACTGGTATAACAATATCAATACGTAAGTACTACATTTAGCGAAGGGTATTTCAATGCAGCACGAGAATATGATAACCCACACCTTAATTTTGTTAAATTATGTTTTACAAACTGTACATACAATTAACATTATAACGTGACAACCTTACGCTCTGAACGAAGTGTAGGCACCAAAAGGAATAGTCGGGAGTTGCCCTTCTTATGTTGTTATACTATGTCGAAACTATGAATAAAGTTGGAGACGTTTCGTCATTTCTTGTGTAGTGGACCCGCGAAACCATTTATAGCATGAATCATAATTAGATGTCCAAAATGTAAACAAATAAATGTTATTGTCAAAGTGACAATGACCTGCAACGAATGCAGGTGTACT